CATTTCACCTTCAATATTTTTTTGTTATTATTAGCAGTATTTATTATCTCTCCACTTTGAATAATGAGTAAAAAATGTCTTAAAGAAAAAAAAAGTATTGTTTGAATTTTGTATTGCTGTTGTTGTGTTCTTAGGTGGCATCAAGTCAACTGTGGCTTATAGCAACCTTAGGAACCAGAGATGTGAAACCTGCCCTATCCTGCAACATCCTCACAATCTCTGATATACTCAAATCCATTATTACAGTCACTGTATCCATCTTGTTAAAGGTCTTTATTCCTCTGACCATCTACCTCTCCCAGAATGACCAAGGATTGGCCCTCCCTATAACACATTCAAAGTATGTGAGAAGTTTCATCATCCTTGCCTCTAAGGAGCCCTGTGACTGCACTTCCTCCAAGACAGATTTGTTTATTCTTTTGGCAGTCATTGGTATTCAATACTCTTTGCCAATCCTACAAGTCAAAGGCGTCAATTCTTTTTCTGTCATCATTATTCATTGTCCAACTTTCAGATGCACAGGAAGTAGCTGATTAGAGCCTGGATAGGCACACCTTTGTCTTTAAACTAACATCATTCTTCTTATTACTTTGTAGACAACAGATTTTTCCCAGAGTAACACATCTTGATTTCTTGACTGCTATCACCATAAATACTGATGGATCGAAGTAAAATGAAAAAGTGACAACCTCAATCTTTAATCCATTTATCATGAAGTTGTCTACAGGTCCGGTGGTGAGGACTTTTGTTTTCTTGATGTTGAGATTAAAATTATCTGTTTCAACTGTTTAAAGTCCTCTTCACTTTGAGGAAGCAAGTTTCTATCATTTGCATAACACAAGTTACATCTTTTTCCAATCTCCATACCTTTTCAACCTGTATGCAGAGCAGATTATCAGAGAGGCTGGGCTCTATGAGGAGAAGCGTGGCATTAGGATTGGTGGACAATCTATCAACAATCTGCGTTATGCAGATGACACAACTTTGCTCGCTGAAACTGAGGAGGATCTCATGCACTTACTGGAGAGGGTCAAGGACTGCAGCCTTCAGTATGGACTGAGGCTCAATGTCAAGAAGACAAAAATTCTCACCACCGGACCAATCGGTAGCATCAGGATGGATGGCGAAGAGATTGAGAGTGTTCACAGCTTCAGTTTGCATGGCTCCACGGTCAACACTCTTGGCACCAGTAGCCAGGAAATAAAAAAATATATTGTGATGGGAAAGTCTGCGGTTAGGGACCTCTCTAAAGTACTCAAAGAGCAACAGTGTCTCTCTGGAGACTAAGGTGCGCCTGATACAGGCCATGGTTTTTTTAATCACTTGTTATGCATCAGAGAGTTGGACAATGACTAGGGAGGATAGAAGGAGAATTGATGCCTTTGAGCTGTGGTGCTGGAGAAGAGTATTGAATGTACCATGGACTGCCAAGAAAACAAACAGATTTATCGTAGAGAGGGTTAAACCATGCTTCTCCTTGGAGGCAAGGATTCTGGGGCTTCGCCTGACATACTTTGGACATGTTGTAAGGAGAGACAGGTCTTTAGAGAAGGACATCATGCTGGGTAGAGTAGAGGGACAGCGCAGGAGGGGAAGACCCTCTATGAGGTGAATTGATTCAGTGACTGGGGTTATCGGGATGGGTGTGTCAGAGGCAATGAGATTGGCACGGGATAGAGCACGGTTTAGGGCTGTTGTACATAGGGTCGCTATGAGTTGCAAACGACTTGACGGCACATAACAACAACAACAATGCTACACTCTTCTTCTTAAAGTCCACCTTCTCAAATAATTTGCTTAGCATGATAGTAAATGGATACGGAGAAAGGATATACCCCTGATGCACACCTTTCCTTATTTTAAACCAAGCAGTGTTCACTTGCTGTTTGGACAACATCTTCTTGGTCTATGTATAGGTTTTGTGTGAGCACAACTAAGTGTTTTGGAATTGCCACTCTTCTCAATGTTAGCCATAGCTAACATTGTGATTCACATAGTACAGTGTCCCTACAAAGTCAATAAAACCCAAATAGACATTCTTCTGCTATTCTCTGCTTTCTGACAAGATCCATCTGACATCAGCAATGATATCCCTAGTGTTATGGCCTCTTATAAACTCAGCTTGAAATTCTGGAAGTTCTCTTTCAATGTACTGTTCTAGTTGGTTTTGGATGCTCCTCAGCAGTATTTTGCTTGCATAGGATATTAATATTGTTCGATAATTTCCATATTCTATTGTATCTCCTTTCTTGGGAATAGGAACAAATACAGATCTCTTCCAATCAGTTGGCCAAACAGCTATCTTCCAAATTTCCTAGCACTGACTGCTGATTATGTCCAGGACTGCATCTGTTACTTGAACCATGTCAATTAGTAACCCATCAATTCCTGGGGCCTTATTTTTTTCTAATGCCTTTAATACATCTTGCACTTCTTTTTTTATCACTATGGGCTCTTTATCCTACGCTACTTCTTGAAATATTTCAGCATCAATCTATTTTTGGTGCAATGACTGTATTGACTGAATCCTCTCTCTTCTCTTGATGCTTCCTGGATCACTGAAGATTTTGCTCATATCACTTGTCAGTATTGCAACTTGAGGATGAAATTTTCAGTTCTCTCAACTTGAGAAATGCTGAGCAAGTTCTTCCCTTTTGAGTCTCCAACTCCAGCTCTCTATATATTCCTGCGGCTTGCATCAGGCATATCTTTTCATCTTTTTCTTCAGGACCCTTTCCCTTTGTTTTTGCATCTTGACCCCCTTGTGTCAGTCTCTTCTAATGGCCATTTTGGGTTTTCTTCTTGCTGTTCTGTAACAATCTTTTGCTCTCTGCATGTATGACATCTTTGATATCATCCCAAAATTCTTCTGGTCTTCAGTCATTAGTGTTCAATATCTCAAACCTGTTCTTAGGATTTTTAAATTCAGGTGGAAAAGACTCAAGGTCATATTTTGGTTCTTGTGGACTTATTTTTATTTTCTTCAACTTCAATTTGAACTTGCACATGAGTAACTGATGGTATGTTCCACAGTCAGCATCTGGCTTGGGTTTGACTGCTGCTATTAAGCTTCTCCAATCTTTCTTTCCATAGATGTAGTCAATCTGATTCCTGTGAAGTCCATCATATGAAGTCAGTGTGTAGAGTTGCCATCTGTGTTTCTCTTATAAATAAAATTTTATTTTAATTGTGATTTTAATGAACATTTACAAAGAAGTTACATTTTCTTGTGTTTCTTAATAAAGATATTTGTGATTAATAAATCATTGAATGTGCAAAATTCTATCATTCAATCTCCAGCTTCATTTCTGTCACCAAATCTATTCCTTCCAACTACCATTCCCTGAACTTTGTTTCCAACTTTTTGCATTCCACTCAAAAAGATATTATTAATGCATCTTGACTACATGTCTGGTCAATTCAGACTGGAAAAAGTTAAATTCCTCAATTTCCTCCTCTTTGGCCTTAGCTGTTGGTGCTTATATTTCATTAGTTTCCCCTAAACATCAAGGTGCTCTAATTGTTCATGGCTGAAATTCTATGTGAATATTTTTATATCCTTTCTGAAGAAAGGCAGGTCTGCCAATCTGACTAGATTGCCATCCCACTGGAAGACCCCTTCCTTGATCTTAAACCATGCAGTGTTTCCTTAATCTGTTCAGACAATTGTTTCTTGGCCAAAGTATGACGGTTTACATGAGCACAATTAAGTATTCAGGAATTCCCATCATTTTTCACAGTGAGAACATACTCATTCATGAGTTATTTTAATCATTAACAGGTTCCTTGTTGTCACTCATCATTAAAAACTACTTGCTAAAGTAATATACAAATTTAAGGAAAATTCTGATAATTCTGATTTTAAAAAAAAACCCTAACCAGTAGTTTCTTACAGAAATAAACTAAATATATGATTCTTAAATATGCCATGCCCTCCTAATAAATAATGAACTAACAAAATTAGCAGCTCAAAAGAAACTGGTAATAATAAAAGTAAAACAAAATTTGCTGATATTTCAATTGCACCATGTAACTTCTATACATCTACACTTAAGAGCTGGCCCCATGTATGTCTCTCCATTCCTTTCAAGCCACTTTCTTCCTTTCACAATGATGTGTTTCCATTTGTTATAGGTTCAGATCTGCTGTTCACATAATCACTATGAGTCATAATTGACTTACTGGCACATCAGAACAACAACATAAAAAATTCAAACAATACTTTTTTCCTTTAAAACATTTTTACTATTTTCAAATTAGAAAAGTAATGTAAGTTGCTAATAACAATCAAAATAATATAAAGATGAAATGCCAGAAAATATCACAGCCTGTTAAAATAATATTGCCAATTACCATTTATTCAAGCATTCATACTTTTTTTATTCCTTTATATGGAATGCCTCACTTCCTCTGAGTTCTGTAAGTAGCTCTATGTGCACTTTTCCCTGATAGCTCCACACTGAATAAGAATTTCCTCTCTAAATACTATGGTTTAGTAGAACATTCATCCAAAATTATTTGCCTGTCAATAGTGGGAGGTCCTTAACAGTGGCCTGTACTTTTGAACATGATATTCTCAGTGGCAAGCACCATAAAAGGCATATAGTAAATGTAAATATAAATATGACCAACTGAATTATCACTTAAAAGAATCTGTTCGTTACTAAAAAATAAAAATAGTATTTAAAAGAATGTCATTAAAGTTCTAATTTAGCTGTATAAACAACTTTGAAATTCTTTACTGATACTGTGACAATGTGTTTTATAATTTTTCTGGCTAAAAGTAAATGCAAGTGACATGCTCAAAGGAAAAGCTGTGTTTGTGTTTTTAATCGTTGGGAACATAGTTATCACAAATTCATCTTTGGTTTTAAAATAATATCTAATGTTGGAAGACATAGCTTGATGTGATATTTCATAAAAACGTTCTCTAAAATTTTAGTAATTTACAGTTTTGTATAAGTTATTTTAACAGAATCTTCTAAAAATATATTACATACCATTTCGATTTCTTGATCTTTAGCAATTAGCTGTCTATTAAGAAGTTCTTTGCTTGAGTCAAGTTTAATACAGAGTTCCCTTGTGGAAGACAAATCTGCAAGAGCAGAAACTTTTTCAAACTGAACCTTCTGAAGCTCCTCTTCCATCTTTACAACAGACTTATGTAATGTAGAAATCTGGGACTTATATGACCTTTCTGCATTTAAGTGCTGCAAAAGCAAGATTGTTATTTTATATATGTATAAAACTTGAAAAAAAATATATGAAAAATAATGTGGGACAAGTTTTTTAATGATAGTGTATACTCAGTCTATAAAGATTTGTCGATGATACATGTGATAAGGATAGAAATAAAATACTCCAGGAAAGGCAAATCCAATCACCAAATTTTTATAAATTTGAGTAGGATAGCCAGCAGGTTATTCTTTTTAATATATTTAGGAAAAAATATATCAAACTTAAAAGTCTCCATCCTAAAGCTAGCTGAGATATACACATGATCTATTTTCCTGATCATATTTATGAAAATTTCAAATTCTATAAATCTTATTGTCAAAGGGAAAATATTATTCACTATTTAATTCACAAATTGTTTTTTAACTTTGTGGTATTTAGGTATATGTGCATATAAATTAATTTTTCATTCAAAAAATCATACACAAATAATTTTGTGTTAACACAAATAACCAACTTTGTGTTATTTGGGTGAAAACTTACATAAAGAAATTTGGGTTTTCATTCAACAATCCACATATATATTGTTCCATGACATCGTCATCTCCAACAACAGAACAGCACTGATTGTTCTCCCTCTGTTTCATTTCCATTCATGCTGCTCTCTTAGCCTTTCCTGCCTTCTCAACTTTATTCATGGGCAAAAGCTGCCCTTTGACAGGGTATGGTTGGTTGTTTTAAGGAATGCATACTTCTCTGGCGTTATTACTTATCTAAATGGGTCTGTCTATTGTTTAGCTGCAGGGAGTTCTAGAGGCCCAATGAGCAAGGAGTTGCACTGCCAACCCAAAGGGACTTATTTCTAATCTACCAGCTGTTCTATGGAAGAAAGAAGAGCAATCTTCCTCTCCTGCACTTTACAGTTTCTGATAACCTACTGGAAGGTCAGTATGAGTCAGTTCTGACTTGACAGTACACAACAGTAACTGTTTGACTGAAAGTTAAGCCACTTAAGCAATTTCAGTTCTAGGCTAAACAGTGACAAAAGGCCACAGTTTCAGAGGTTTCACCAAGGTACACAAGCCTATAATGTGTTCTTTTATTATTTTTCATTTTGTTCCAAATAATCTTCTAAATAGTACTAATTTTTATATAAATCATAATACAAAGCCTCATGATTCCCAAACGCTAATATCTTTAGAGAGAAAAGACTACAAATACACATAAATTAAGAATACATTTATATACATATATACATATTCCCATTATTAGGTGTCATATGTGGTTGTTGTTGTTGTTGTTATTAGGTTCCCTTGACTATGACCCATAGCAACCCTATGAAAAGCAAATAAAATTCATGGTGAGCCTATGAACAACTAAACAAATCACTGCCCAGGTGATCTGGGATAACAACCTCACAATATTTGTTGTTGGGCTCATTACTGTAACCACTATGCTAATATATCTTATTCAAATTCTCTCATTTTTGCTGATTCTCCCTATGTTTCACCAAGTTTATAATATCCTTTTTTGCTGTAATTCATCCAAGATAGATTTATACTTTCTTCTGGAAGTCCATGATATATGGTATAGATAGATAGATAGAAAGAAGATAGGTAGATAGATAGATAGATAGATATTTTTTAACATCATAATTGAAAGACATCAATTCTTCTTTGATTTTCCTTATTCCTTGTTCAGCTTTTGCATGTATGTAAGCTATTTGGAAATAGCATGACTTGGGTTAGGTTTACATTAGTCCTTGAAGTGATGTATTTGGTTTTTACACTTTGAAGTAGTTATTTGTAGTATACTTAGCCAATGCAATATGTCACACTTGTTTCTTAACTTCTGCTTCCATAGCTGTTGAGCTTTGGAACAAGACTAAGGAAGTCTTGGAAAAAGCCAGTTATTTCTCTATTTATCATAATGTTGCCTATTGGTCCAGTTGTGAAGATTTTTGTTTCATGTGGTGGTGCAATCCACACACAAGGCTGTAGTACTTGCTTTTGGTTTTTGCCTCCATTTTACATTTGAGTGAATGTTTACACATCATATTGCTACATAGCATTAATTACAATTAATAAAATTACTGTATCTTTAGCAAATCTTTATTATATATTGCTGCCTCCTTCACATAGTCTATTATATTTTGCTCACCTTTCCCTCCCTACTCATCCTTGTTAACACTCTAAAGTTGATCCTATCTTTGTGTAAATCTTTCCATAACTTCTTATAATAGTGATCTTATGCCATAATTGTACTCTTGTGACTTATGTATGTCACTCGGTATAATTTGTGCTAGATTCATGTGTATTGTACAGTATTTCATAAATTCTTGAGAGCTTGTTTGGAGGTTTTAGCAGGGGACCACAGCTACTCATATACCCTTGACCAAAGGATGGTCCTCCTCCTGTCAGGGATGGTTGTCCTCTTCAACCAATCACAATGTTTCAGGAAGGGCACACATGGAGTGGTGAGGAAGGAAAGAACGCTGGCCTAACCAGCCAGATCACCCCAGTCAACCCTGGTGATCAATAGGGTGACAGATATCACAGCCAGATCACCTTCACAGCCAGTACTTCACAAATTCTTGACGGTTTTTTAGTAATGTATAATACTTCATTGTATAGTTTCTTTAACCATTAGTTCACTAATTTACTCTGTATTGTTCCTAATTCTTTGATACTGTAAATAATGCTGAAATAAGCATAGGTGAAAGGCTGTGGTCTTTGATCTTCATCAATAAGTGCTTTATGTCATTTTCATTTATAGCAAGCAATATTTTTGCCATATGTCTAGAAAATGTTAATGACTATTCTTCCAATCCTGATGCTGTATTCTTCTTTAAATAGTTCGACTTCTCTGATTATGTCCCAACATACAGATTGAATAAGGATGTTGAAAGGATAAAGACATACACTCCTTTCCTGATTTTAAACTATACAGTTGTCCTTTTTTCCAGTGGGACCATTGCCCCTTGGGCTATGTGTAGTTTCTGCATGAGCATATAGTGTTCTGGTTAGAACACTTCTATTCTTTGAAATGTTACCCAGCATTTATTATGATGCACACAGTTGAATACTTTTTCAGAGTCAATAAAATATAAGTAAACATCTTTCTGATATTTTCTACTAAAATCCATTTGATGTTAGCAAGTATATCCACATACTCTTCAGAATTAGTAAGGATATTCCACATCCTCTTCAGAACCCAGCTTAAATTTCTGGAAGTTTCCTCTTGATGTATCACTGAACCATTTTTTAGTTAGCCTCAGCAAGATTTTATTTTTGTGTAAAGCTGATAAGATTGTTTTATAATTTCCACATTCTGTTAAGTAACCTTTCTTTTGAACAGGTATGTATGTAGTTCTCTTTCAGGTGATTAACAAGGTTTTGCCATTTCTACCTTTAGACAGTTGATCGTTTCTAGCACTGCATTCATTTGTTTAAACATCTCAGCTGGTGTTCCATCAGTTCTTAGAGCTTTGTTTTTTACCAATGCCTTTAGTACTGTTCACTCTTGCTCATATGCTATCTCCTGAAATAGTTGAACATCAATGAATTATCTTGGTATTCACTCACTCACTACTATGGAAGCAACTCATAAACAATTTTCCAGTAGATTTTCAAAGGCTGTAAATTATATAAGAGGATACTGCCAATCTTTCTTCCTCAGCCTCTGATGGTTTCAAATTAGCAGACAAATGTGCCATTATGGGTTAACATTAAGAGCACATTTCTGTTAAAATAAATTTTAAAAATATAAGTTAGCTAAAATTATGTAAGAAATATAAGTTTCCTGTTTTATAATGATTATATTTGCTAGGTTAAGTATGGCTAGAATGGTAGTTATATGGAATAAGATAAGAATGTGGTGTCACAATGTTAAAGATTATCAGATATATAGAATGAAGCTTAAGTTTAGAATGTTAGAAGTTAATAAGCAAGTGTATATTAGTGTTAAGAGTATATTGTAAAAATTTGGAATGAAGTTTATAAAGATAAGAATTGAAATGTTAGAAGTTAGCAAACAAGTATGTCAGATAAGTAAGTCTCAGAGGAGAACTTGCAGAATCCCTGCAGCTAGTGCATCAAGTCAAAAGACTTAATATGTTAATCATACGATGCTGTATCAGGTCCAGAGACTTAATCAGAAAATGCTACGTTACACCCAGAGGCCCAATGTGCTAATCTTAAAATGAAACATTCGGATTCTAGTTAGTTGCACCACTAAAAGAGATCTTGCAAGACAGCAACGTACTATTGTAGGGAATGAATATTCCAAAGGTGACTAGATGCACCTCAAAGTTGTTTACAACAGTGGATTCTTAGAAATTCTCACTGGGGGCACCTGGCTCTAAGAGACTTTAACACCAAGTACAGAATGTGGCATCTAATCTGGAAACTCAAGCTGAAAAAAAATCAGAGGCATTAGAAAAGACCAAGACACCTCACTCTCTGATATCTTTCCGCTCTCTACAGACCCTCTGCTAGGTTATACAATGAACTGTCTACTGGAGTGAGCATTCTACATGTTTGAATATTGGCTGAATTATTATTATTGTTGTTGAATAATTAGTTGGTAGACATAATTGCTTAGATATTAATACTTAATTGATTAATATTTAATTGCCTTTAATACCTTACCTTTTAGGTTGGTTTTTTTGTGAAATTATACATGGGCTTCATACCTCATGGCCCACAATAAAGTGTGTGATTTTCAATTTTAATACATTTTGCCAGTATTTTCTGTTTCCATCATAAGCTCATGCAATACAGTTAGAAACACCAATTTCTAAGGACTATGCAACAAGAGCTTTGTTCTTTTGGTACAATGACTATATTCCTTTCATCTTCTTTTGTTGTTTTCTGTGTAGCCTGAATTTTGCCAACAGAATCTGTCAATATTGCAACTCAAGGCTTGAATTTTTTTTCAATTCTTTCTGCTTATTAAAGGTCAAGTATGTCCCTTTTGTTCCTCTAGTCCCAAGTCTCTGCATATTACATTTTAGTCCTGTGATTTTAAAAGATCA